AGACTATATATATCTATTAACTTTATTTATAGAATACTTTATAATATTTATACTAAAGAAAAATAGTAAACTTTATTTAGTTATTAATTACTAATAGCTAAATAAGATTATATAGAAGGATAGAATATCTTTACTACTAATTACTAAACTTAGAGATTAATTATAAGATAAATAGTAATTTATAGTACTTAATCTAAAGAGAGCTTATAACTTAATATAAATTAAGGAGAGAGATAAATAGAAAATAGTATTTAGAATAAAGTTTAATCTCTATAAGTATCTTATTATACCCTTTAAACTAATAAATATATCTATAATATTCTAATAAATAATTAACTAAGTACTATAAGAGTATCTTAATATCTTTATAGTTATTTATCTTAATAATATATTAATTTTCTCTAATAATCTAGAAATATATAAGGAATATATATACTAAGTTTTAGAGAAATTAGAAAAAATAAAATTTTTTATAGAACTAGAAAAAAGTTTCTTCTATATATAAGAAGTTAACTTCTTAGGATATACTATTTAACTAAATAAAATATAAATAGAATAAGATAAGATTACTATAGTTAAGGATTAGAAAGTACTAAAAACTATTAAGAAAGTATAAGCCTTTCTTAAATTTACTAATTATTACTAATAATTTATTAGAGACTATAGAAAAATTACTATACCCTTATATAATATTACTAAAAAAAGAATAGAATTCTAATAGAAAGATAAATAGTAAGAAGTATTTAGTAAAATTAAGAACTAAATACTTTCAGAATCTATACTATAGATATTTAACTCTATAAAAGAAATAGAACTTAAAATAGATATCTTAGATTTTATAATTAGTATATAACTTAGCTAAAGAGATAATAATAGAGTATTTTACCTTATAGTATTCTTTTTAAAGAAACTATATAGTATAGAACTTAATTATTCTATTTATAATAAAGAATTTATAGCTATTATATATATATTTAAGGAATTTAAATACTACTACTTAGGAATAATATATAAGATTAAGATATATATAGATTATAAAAATATTTAGTACTTTATAATAATCTAGTAACTAAATAGAAGATAAATATATTATACTAAATATCTATCTTAGTTTAACTATAAGATTATATATTAAAAAGAATTAGAAAATAGAAGAGCTAATACTCTTAGCTAGAAATCTAAATATAAGAAAGTAGTTCTAAAAATAAATAGATAGCTATTCTTAACTAATAATAAAGAATACTTAGTATAAAAAACCCTAGAAGCTATACTTAAGGGAATAGTATATACTAAAGTCTAGATAGAGATTATTCCTAGCTTAGGAAAATTATAGTAAGATACTAGAATAATACTTATTAAAGAAATCTATAAATATCTACTCTTAGGATATTAAGAAGTTAAGAAAATATTTAATAGGATTAGATAATACTATAATTATCTAGATCTATAGAAGGAAGTATAAACTATAATTTCAGAATATAATACTTATATATAAATTAAGTTTATATAATATAAACTCTATAGAGAACTAAGACTAGTACTAGTACTAGAATAACTATAATAATTAGTATTTTTTAATTATATTATTAAACTACTATTATTAAAAGAACTAATAATCAGAATAGAATATAATAGTATTCTAGTAGTTATTAATAGACTTATAAAGTATAGATATTTTATTCTATATAAAGAAGTAAGCTCTATAGAAGATCTTATATATTAGTTTCTATAATATATAGTTAGCTACTATAGATTATCTAATAAGATTATATTAGATAGAGAAATAATATTTACCTCTAAGTTTTAGTAATTACTTATAGTATAAATAGGTACTAAGTATAAACTTTTAATAGTATATTATCTATAAAGTAATAGTTAAATAGAATAATTAAATTAAACTCTAGAATAGTATCTATAAATATATATTAACTATAAGTAAGATAATTAAATATAACTATTATCTATAGTATAAATTATATATAATAGCTTAGTATAAGAATTAATCTAACTTATATCTATATATATAAACTATAATTATAAACTATAATTCTAAAACTAATTAAAACTTATAGAACTAGATATACTAACTACTATACTTATAAAAGAAATACTATATTTATTATATATAGAAATAAAAATAGAACTTAAATTTATCTAATAAAGAATAAAAAAATACTATAATAAAAATAGATTAGAAGGATTAATCTTAGAAAAGGGAGATAAGATCTATTTACTCTATAAAAATATTATAATAATAAGACTAAGTAATAAATTAGATTATAAAAAACTTAAACTATTTAAGATCTATAAGAAAAAATCAGATACTAATTATAAACTTTTACTACTAGATATAATATATATCTACCTAGTTTTTTATATCTTATTACTTAAAAAAGTATTAAAAAATATACTAGATTAGGATTATCTGATTAAGATCTATAAAGAAGAATTTAAACTAGAAAAAATTCTAAAAAAGAAAGTTAGAAATAGATAAACTTTCTACTTAGTAAAATAGAAAGAATATACTAATAAAGATAATACTTAGAAACCTATTAAATATTTAAAGAATTATTAGTAACTTATTTAATAGTATTACTAGGATTAGAAATATCTATTCTAATAAACTAAGAAGAAAATAGTTCTATATCCTTCTGAAGAAATACCGGATTAATCTTAATCTCTAAGAATATAGACTTAGATAAAGATATAACTAGAGATAAGGTTTACTTTCAGATTATTTTTTCTATCTTCTTTTACTTAATATATTCTAATTCTTCTATACTATTAATACTATAAGATACTACTTATATTATCTTATCTAACTATAATTTCTTTTATTAATAAAGATATTAGATTTTTATATCTATATAATAATACTTTTCCTCTACTATCTCTAGCTTAGACTCTAGCTTACTATACTAATTAGTAATATATCTTAGCTATCTTAATATAAGATCCTGAGTATTATAATATAGCTAATTATTTTTAATATAGTAAAAATAATAAGATAAAGAACTCTCTAATCTAAAGTATTTATAACTATAGGATTTATAATAATTATACTCTAATTATATTACTAAAGAATTTAATAAGATAGTATTAATAAGAGTATTATACTAAAGGGTTTTCTTATAGGAAGTTTTCTATATATAGTTAGATATTATTATAAACTATAAGAGGAATATAAAATTAAATTAGAAAAGACTTACTAATAGGCTATAGAATATAATCTTAAGAATATAACTAATAGAGAGAGAACCTTATATTATATATTATATTATTATATATTAAAGTTATATAGATTATCCTACTTTTTCTAACTAATTACTAATAGATTATTAGGATCTTATAATAATCCTAATAATCTAGAATAATAGATTATTACTAAGTATTAATAATCCCCTAGTATATATATATATTTATTTTACTAGATAGAATACTCTCTTAGATAGTTATTAATATAATTATCTATATATCTATTATTACTAGCTTTATAATACTTATATATTAATAGTAACTTATATTATATAGCTTAAGATAATCTGATTATACTACTCAGAATAATACTCTAATTAGTTTAACCCTAACCTACCCTAGACCCTGTTCAGTATAAGTTATCTAACTATTATACCTATATAAAGGCTAGGGTTAGTAAAATAGTAAGATAGAAAGAACAGTTAGATATCTAAGTAGAGATTAAAATTACCCTTCTAGAAAAGATAAATAGAATATATATAGTTCTCTCTAATATTCTATATCTTTATAGTTCTAATTCTTCTATCTCTAACTTAGTAGCTAAATTTATTATAGATTCTACTAGCTTATATACTAATTTAATATATTAGAATAATATCTAAACCTACTTTCTATATAAAGAGAACTATAAAACCTATCTAAGATACTAGATATAATATATATATAAATTTTATAATAGATATATCTGAATTATCTAAGTATAGTAAAGTACTTTCTATAATTTTTAACTTATAGTAAATAGCCTCTAAAACTTAAGAAAGCTATTAATTTTATTACTATTAATCTATTAAGCTAGCCTATATTTAATTCAGAAAATTAAATACTAATTCTAGAAGAAATTATCTAATACTACTTTAGTTTAGTTATTTCTATATATAAAGATAAATAAGCTAAAATATAACTTATTTACTTTTTAGTAAAGAAATATCTCTTATCAGATTAGTTAGAACTAAATTTAGCTAAAGAACTAGATAAAATTTCTATAAAAGCTAGTATTATTAATATTTATCTCTCCTATCTATTTACTATCTATCCGCTCTACTTACTATAAAAAATAAGATAATAATATTATCTAGCAGAGTTCTCTATATAATATTAGATAAAGAATATAAAAGATATTAAGTTAGCTTATAAAGGAATTATACTATTAGTTAAGAGATATTTTTTATATTAAAATACCTTCTAATTTAGTTATTATCTTAATAATCCGTATAGGTATAAAGCAGATAGGATTTAAGCTCTTTATTATATATTACTTTAGGGTTTACTCTATTCTTCTATTTTTCTCCTTCAGAAGGCGCTGATATTAATACCTAAGGTAGAGAGTATATTAATACTCTTCAGGCTGCTTTAGTATTTAGGTATCTAGAGATAGCTGAGTTATTTATTCAGAAGGTGCTGATATTAATACCCAAGGTAGAGAGTATATTAATACCCTTCAGGCTATTTCAGTATTTAGATATCTAGAGATAGCTAAGATACTTATCCAGAAGGGCGCTGATATTAATACCCGATATAGAGAGTATAATAATACTCTTCAGGCTGCTTTAGAAACAGAGTATCGAAAGATTGCTGAGATACTTATTCAGAATAGCGCTGAACGAATGGACAGGCTGTAGGATTAATAAGTAGATATTGTCCCTATAAATTTACAAGTACAATCACATCTTATACCTTGGGTTCACGATTCGAGTCCCCTACTCTCTATGACCGGCGCTATCAATAGCAATTATCTATCATATAACATGAATCATGTAAGGTCAAACCTGCTGCATAAATTAATCGAATAACTTTGTAAATGGAGGGTAATAGGGGAATTCTTGAATATATACAGCAGCATTTCCTTTCTTCTGGAACATTCTAATAATACAATAGAATGGAAAAAGGGTGTCGCCGGATTTTAACTACTTAAATATTGTGGGGTTAGCCTGTGGCTTCTGTGGCTTTGCCAGAGGGGCTTGGTCATAACTGAGGCAGAAACAGCCGCTACCCACTGCGAAGCCCTACGCTCCCAATTCACCGCCCTCTCGGGTATTAAACATTTCCTAATGTGAAACATTGGGTTATAGGGTATGGCCCAAAGCCATAGGCCGATTGGTACCACGAATGCCTCTCAGAATGGCGCTACTGCAAACAAGTTTTGTTTTTAACCACACGTAAGATTTGAATTTGGCCACTGTGATCAGAGACGATAAAAAACGGAAAATGGCCACAGCCAGCTTCGTTCCTCAAGGCTCCTTTGCGCAAACCGCGACCGGTTTGCCTCTCCTTTCCAAAAGAGTGCAAGCACAGCGAGCATCGAACCTGGCCAATCACATAGCAGTTTTTTTGCATTCATCTAGACGTGCCTTGAGGAACGTGCCTTGAGGAACGAAAGGTCTATGCTCTACCCCTCGACTTAAGACCCTGATATGATTGGCCCGGTTGTTGCCTTGAGGAACAAATCTCCCTCTGTGGTTGGTGGGAAGGGCCCCGCTTTCCCCTAGCGCCTTCAAGATGATTGGTGAAAATTAGTAGATTTTAACTATTGTTTTTTGCTTACCTATTGGTTACTTTTGATCTGGACTCCCTCTGTTAAGAGTCTAAAACTCCCTAAATTTAAAGTTAGAAGCTGACTGACTGTTGAATCTTTCTTCTTTAGCTTTAGTAAGCCAGCTACTTCCCTTAACTACTCCAAACTACTCCCTTACTCTTATTTACTTATATAATACTTTATTATATTCGCTATAGATCCCTACTTATTCAGCTAGCCCAGAGTCTTCTTAATAGTCTTTTTACTAAGTATTTCTAATCTGACCTCTGCAGCTATTATATTAATAGGGATTCTATTTCTGATTAGATCCCTCTCCTGTACTTTCAATATAAGTATTATCCCGTTAAGTAATAGATAGTATAATAGCTATATATATAAGCTATACAGATTATACTAGCTTTATACTATCTTACTATTAATTATAGTTATTCTGGTCCTATATAGCTCCAGTACTACCCAGTTTAAAGTTCTCCCTTAAACCTTATAGTTAGTATATATAAAAGCTAGTATATATAGTAGGCCCTTCTGTATAATATTATACTATTACTACAGCTACTTTTACTAGTATTCCAGCTTAGTACTTATTAGTATTAGCAGGATTATCCCGGGCGGTATACTAATAAAGTAAAGATTATAAGTTATCTCTACTATCAGTAGGATCCCTACTAGAGGCCTAAAGTAGAGTATAGTATCAGCTAAGATCTAGTAGCCTGGGTATATCTTATTAATAATAATATCTAATACTATATAGCTAGCCCTATTAATAAGCTTTAGACCCTAGTATATATTATAGTTAATAATAATAGGTATATCTAGTATAAATATAAAGATAGCTAGTACCGGGATTATACTATTATTACTATAGTTCAGAATTATTAAGACCTCCTCTTCTATTAGCTAGCTGTCTTTCTACTTATAATTAGATATAAAGATATATAGTATTACTTTATATTACTATTAGAAGACTAGAGTAGCTTCTATATTTAGATTCTACTAGTTTCTATTAAGTAGTATTACTATAGTAATATCTAACTCCTATAGGATCTACCTACTATCTTAGTAGTAGTAAGTATTAAGGAGATTAATATCTGACTTATCCTAGATCCCGAGCTGGATCTATACTAATAGCCTTTATAACTCTTGGTTATCAGTAGTACAGACCTGTTCGTTCAGTATAATAATAGTAGTAAACTTCTTCTATAGGATATATACCTTACTATACTAATACCTCTATTCTACTCTGAATAAACTATCTTATTTCTATATAATAGCTATATCAGAAAGCAGTATTAACCTCTCCTGTACAGGGTAGAACTAGTAGAAGTTACTATAGAAAAGAATAATAGGAATACCTTTAAAGTCTTCTATAGATCCTCAGAGCCTATATAACTGCTCGTTTACTATATATAATATCCATATACTGAGTATACTTATCTTATCTATAATAAGTAAATATTTTCCCTACTAGTCTATCTGTAACTGTCTATTAATATAACGGGTGGATAAACTGGAGAATCTAATCTTATTAGTACCTTTATCTCTCCTGGTACTTATATATAATATATCTTTAGAGAAGTTATATACTGAGTAGATTATAATACTATTAATATATACTACTGTAGTCCCCGAGGTTACTATAACTAATAAGCGATTTGAGATTCCCTTTCTGATGAAAAGCTCTATAACCGCCTTAATAACCTGCGACTTCCCTGTACTGCCCTCTCTACTAACAAACTAGAGAAGCTGGGGAGGGGTAATTAGACTAGCAGCTCCCTCGCTACGTAGGATAAGATTAAGTTATCAGCAGATCAGCAGGAATACGACGGACTGCTTCCTGTTCAGTGTAAAGAGCTCTAGGATTCTATCTGCACCTATTCATATAGGTAATACTGCTTCCACTGGCTAACATGCTCTACGCGATCCTTTTTAGGCTACTCTTAAGCTATCTTATACTGCTGTTAGGACGCCATACGCAATACAAGACTATATACGATAGTAACTCTCTATCCGAGATAAAGAGCTTACCGTCTGGCTCGTATAGGTGAACTTTCTTTCGCCTGTATTATATATATATTTCTATAGGTTTCAGATCCCCTCTAGATATCCTGCTTAATATTCTTACTCTCCTCTTCTCCCTCTCTCTGTAATACCTGACTGTAACTTATATATAATTATACTCCTCCCTGTTATATCTATATTATTAGTTACCTTTATCCTCTAATATCTATTTCCCCTTCTTTTCTACTTTATCTCTATTCCCCTTTATTTTTAGCTTCTCTTAGCCTCTTTCTTCAGCCTGTATCTATTAGAAAAACTAACCTCCTATCTCTTAAAAACTTATTAAAGGGGGTCCCTTTAAATATTAAGTTAATTCCCGTAATAATACCTGCTTCTACTACTATCGTAGATAGCTCACCGCAGGCTTATAAGCTGCTGGATAGCCAGAGGAATACCGGCGGTAATATATCTATTATATTCTTTATCCAGCCCAGCTACCCTTCGAGATTCACCTCTACAGATAAGTATTAAGTAAAGGGCCTAAATACTGAGACTATAGCGAGGGTTATCCTTCTAATCCCTCTATAGCTTATAACTCCTGATTACTCTCCTTTATATACCTATACTGGTAACCCCTCTCTCTCTATATTCTTCAGCCTTAACCTATCTATATATAACCAGCAGATTAATCCTGATAACTGGTCTAACTAATAGTTCTTTATAACTAGTTATATCTATCCTTTTGTTTTAACCTGGGAAATTAATCCTCAGGATAGGCTGAAAACCTCAGCTAATAATAGCTCCCTTACCTATACTATCCCGGCCCTTATTATATATAACTAAGGATATCAGCCGTATATTGTAGTCCTTTTATCTCTGTTCTATCAGTCTTATAATTTACTACTGACCCCTTTACCTACAGTATACTACCCTGAAATCTCTGCTCTGTAGTTAACTAATTTCCTTTTCTCTCCCTAATTATTAGTTTTACCAGTAATATTATTAATCCAGATTATAATCTCCTATAAAAGGAGCTTATACCTACTCTGGATAATATCCAGCTCAGATACTATAGCTTTATTTAGCTAATTATATATCTCAGCCTAGGAAATTCTATTAAGACTCCCTTTAGAGATTTCTACTCTTTTCAGATCTTTATTATCTTCCTAATCTATATAAATCTATAGGTCTTACTTTATAAGAAGATAGCTAAGAGATAAGATATCTATTTCCAGAATAATATATTATTAACCTATACTAGTAAGATTACTAGCCTGCTTAACTATTACCTTATAGTATAGCTATTAGATCTTATATAGGATTATATCTTTATTATTATCCTAGACTTATAGATCTTTCTTAATAAGAGACTTTCTATATCTGCTTTACTAATATAATTATCTACTACTATAGTATTAGTAGTTTATTTAAAATCTTCTATCTATATACTATTTAAAGAAATTAAGACTATCTTTATCTTATATAGATCTACTGAACTTCTGATATCTTAATCTATAGAAACTCTAATTCTAGTCTCTACTCTAAAGAAATTAATACTATCTACTATCTCTACTCCTACCCCTACCCCTACCCCTTCTCTATAATACTATATACTATCTACTATATTTATACTAAAATAACTAATTTTAGATAATAACTATATATTACCTTCTAAATAACTATATCTAGTACTATTACCCTCTATAGTTATTCTATCCTTACTATCTTCTATTAATAGCTTAAGCTCTAAGCTAACTGATAAACTCTAGATAGAATATAGTAGAGATCAGGTCTTTATTATATCTCCTATAAGATATATTCTACCTGGAACTTATCTATCTATAGCTATACCTATACCCTTATCTATATATATACTAGACCCTCTTATAGCTTCTAGATCAGAGATCTATAATTATCCCTATTAAAACTATAACCCTCCTAAGAAGTTTCTAAAAGAAATCTTTAAAATATAATAAGTAGATAGGCTAGATAGAAAGTTATCTTTTATCAGATAGTACTTATAGATATAAATATCTATTTCTAAGTCCTAAGGTTAAACTCAGCTATCTATATATATTATCCCCTACTCTTACCCTACTGCTAGCTACTATATACTTCTTCTTATATACCTTCCAGTCTGCTTTCTAAAATATTCTCTGTATAATTATTACTTAGTATTCCTCCTATTTATATAATTATTATAATAATATATAGAACTATTTCTTATAATAGAATATCCTCTAAAATCTTTATTTACTGCTCTTTTAGCTATTAAACAATCTAATAGTAAAATATCTTTAAGTTATAATTAGGGTATATCTTAGAGTTATATCCTGTGCCGATTGGTACCATAAATATCCCCTAAAACAGTGCTACTATAAACCAGTTTTTTACCACCGAAGTTTCGAGCTTGGAGGTGGTGATTTTGATCCCATGGCCTATAGATATAAGAAACCTTATCTCTTAGTCTGTATCCAGTTCTATTATTATATTTACTGCTTTTTATATTTTATCCCTTTTACCTGTTATAGCTTTGCTGAGCCTTGAGAAATAAAAGTATCTTATGCCCTACCTCTAATTATAGAACTACTATACCTCCCCTTAACCAATCAACAGGACTATATATAAGCCCCTTATAGGTCTTTTTCAGGGTATATTACCTACTGACTCCCTACTACTTTCTATACTGTTTTTATTTACTGCCTAATAGATCAGATACTATTTTATTATACTATTAGCTATCCTTTATTCCTACCTTATATCTATCTGGCTTAATAAACCCTATTACTATTTAATCAGAGACTATCTACTAATAGCTTAAAGTAGAGTATTATTAGCTGAGCTGGGACTGCTTTATAGGAGTAATCTCTGAACTAAGTAAAAATATACTATTAGTTTAGCCCTATACTTCTTCTAAACTAATTACTTATATAAGATATTTATATTAATACCTTACTACCTAATAAGTAGGGTTATTACCTTAGTATTTAATCAGAGCGAATTACCTTGAATATATAATAACTAAATCAGCCTGTATTAAAGATTGAGCTTAATTATTATAAGGAGCTCTGTATTTTCTTTATATTCCCTTTAAAAAAGATTCTTACTAAGAACTACTGCTAATAATATCTAACCCCTATAACTATACTATTAGCTAGATCTGTACTATTAATATTAAGTATATTACTACCTAAGTCTTTCTTAATAAAGAGTATAAAGATTCTGAATTTATTTCTATAAATAATAATAATAACTATATACTAGATAGGATTAGGAAATATAATATTATTATTATTATTCTTCTCTATAGTAAATATAGTATAATATCTACTATTAGTATAATAAGAGATATACTCTCTAGTTTTTCTAATATTAGAATTAGTTTAATAGTTAGTATTAGTAGTAGTATACTAAGTTATAAGTATAATATCTAGTTTAAGGATATTATAGTAAGTACTTCTAGTAATAGGAAGAGTAGGGTATTTTAGTATAATTTTAGAAAGACTATATAAGATCAGGATTTCTAATAGATAGAATTCTTAAACTAATTACTACTAATTCTATAAGTAATAGTAAATAGACTTATAGTATAATATAAGGGTAAAGAATATTAGTTTAAAGAATCTATTAATAGTATTTTTAAAAGGAAACTAAAACTATAGAAAAAATATAGATAGTCTGAACTAAGTACTGATTAATTATATTAATCTAATATACTTTACTTACTAAATAATAAGTCTAGCTATATAATAGCTTATAGTAATAATCTATCTACTCTAGTAGTATAGTTAGAGCAGGTTAAGAATAAAGATAATCTATTAATCTACTATAGTCTTATTACTTTAGTAAATAAGCTAATAAAAAATACTATAATTTAAGATATACTTATAGAGAAGAATAATATTCTCTACTTTAAAATAGAAGCTACTAGTTTAATAAACTACTTTCCCTATCTAGTTATTTATAGTATCTATAACTATTCTAATATATATAAGAATAAAGAGTAATAAGGCTATATAGTAATAATAGCTATAGTATATATAAAAGACTTACTATATAAGATTATACTAAGTAGAGTAGAGAATAAGAAGAGGTTTAGTAAGCTTATTCTTAGTAGTTAGTATTTTACTATTTATTTTTATATATTATTATCTTTTTTATATTCTAGTAAGAATATTAATATCTAGAAAGTTAATAAAATAGTAGATAATATTTATTAATTAGTATTAGAGACTAGAGATATAACTAAGCTTATATAAGATAATAACTATCTTAATAAGATTAGAAACTAGCTAGTACTATCTGATCTATCTATAAATCTAAATTAAGTCTGAAATCTATATTATAAAGATACTAGCTAGTAGTTTCTAGATAGTAATAAATATTTAGAATAGAAAAAAGAGAAAAACTCTTTTCTATAGCTTACTAGTATCTCTAGATATAGTAAAACTATTCTTAGTTCTACTATTATTATAGATCTTAATTCTACTAAACCTAATCCCAGAGTTCTATATTTCTTCTTTAATTTTAATAATATTAATAAATAATTACTAGAGAGTACTATCTACTTATTTATTTTTTAGCTATATTCTAAGTATAATATTCTTTATAGTAAAGTTAATTTAAAATATTTTAGCTTTAAAAATAAAATAAGATAATTAGATATCTTAGTACTAGAGTAGCTCTTATAATATATAATATAGAAATCTAAGGAGATTTATATTATCCTTAATATACTAGATAAATTTAAGAGATATAGTAGTTTATACTTGCTAAAATTATTATTATTACTAGATTAGATTAAGAGTCTTTATAATAAATTAACTAATATATATATACTTATTACCAGTTAGCCTGAGCAGGATATTATAGCTTCTTTTAATAGCTGGGCTAATACTAATAAAATTATCTAACTCTAAAGTAAGTTAGTAAGTAATAATATTACTACCTATATAAAGATTAGGATTAGTAAAATAATAAGATAGAAAGAATAATAGGATATCTAAGTAGAGATTAAAATAACTCTTCTAGAAAAGATAGATAGAATATATATTATCCTATAGTATTTTATATCTTTATAGTTCTAATTCTTCTATTTCTAACTTAGAAGCTAAATTTATTATAGGTTTTATTAGGTTTTATACTAATTTAATATATTAGAATAATATCTAAACCTACCTTCTATATAGAGAGAACTATAAAACCTACTAGAGATACTAGATATAATATATATATAAGTTTTATAATAGATATATCTAAATTAATTAAGTATAATAAAATATCTTTTATAATTTTTAACTTATAGTAAATAATCTCTAATACTTAAGGAAGCTATTAATCTTATTATTATTAATCTATTAAGCTAGTCTATATTTACTCTAGATAACTAAATACTAATTCCAGAAGAAATTATTTAATATTACTCTAGTTTAGTAGCTCTTATATATAAAGAGAAATATATTAAAATATAGCTTACTTACTTTTTAGTAAAAGAATATTTCTTATTAAACTAATTAGAACTAAGTTTAGCTAAAGAACTTAGTAAAATACCTATAAAGGCTAGTATTATTAATATTTACCTCTTCTATCTGCTTTCTATATATAAGTTATACTTACTATAAAAAGTAAAAAAAAAGTATTATCTAGTAGAATTCTCTATATAATATTAGATAAAGTATATAAAGAATATTAAATTATCTAATAAAGTAATTCTACTATTAGTTAAGGAGTATATCTTATGCTAAAATACCTTCTAATTTGGATATTAGCTCTATAATCCGGATAAGTTCGATGATCCGGATGAGTTTGATAATCCGAATAAGTTCGATAATCCGGATAAGTTCGATGATCCGGATAAGTTCGATAATTCGGATGAGTTCGATAGTTCGGATAAGTCTGATAATCCGGAAGAGCTTGAAGTGGGCGGGAATTAAGTTCTTTATTATATATCCCTTTAGGGTTTGCTTTATTCTTCTACTTTTCTCCTTCGGAATAATATCAAGGCCTAAGATAGATATAATAATACTCTTCAGGCTGCTTTAGCAGAAGGGTATTAAGAGATTACTGAGTTACTTATTAAGAAGGGTACTAATATTAATACCTAAGATAGATAATATAGTAATACTCTTCAGGCTACTTCAGCAGAAGGATATTAAGAGATTACTAAGCTGCTTATTAAGAAGGGTATTAGTATTAATACCTAAGGTAGATATTATAGTAATACTCTTCAGGCTGCTTCAGTCTATAGATATTAAGAGATCGCTAAGCTGCTTATTAAGAATAATACTAATATTAATTTCCAGGGCGCTAATACTAATACCCAAGGTAGATATAGTAATACTCTTTATACTGCTTCAGTAAGAGGGTATTAAGAGATTACTAAGCTGCTTATTGAGAATAGTGCTAATATTAATACCTAAAGTAGATATTATAGTAATACTCTTCAGGCTGCTTTAGTAAGAGGGTATCTAGAGATTACTAAGATACTTATTCAGAATAGTACTTAATAAACGAACAGCCTATCGGATTAATAAGTAGATAGGGTATATCCTAAACCGAATTAGCACACCGTATATCTCTTAGGAGCCTATAATCGGGGTGAATGAAAAAAAAAATACAAATTGCCCATAGCCAGCTTCGTTCCTCAAGGCTCCTTTGCGCAAACCACAACTGGTTTGCCTCTCCTGTTTCCAAAAGAGTGCAAGTACAGCGAGCATCTAGCCTGGCCAATCACATGGCGGTTTCTCTCATCCATCTGGACGTGTGGGTCACATGTGATTGGATTGCGACAAGCAGCCGGATTAGTTGCCGGACCGAGTATGCTCTATGTACTCCTTTCCAGACCACTGACACAAGGACGTGTGAGTCAGCATACAAGGGCTACCAGGATACACACACGTGACAGGTGACATGAGCTGAGACAGAAGCGGGCATGTGCGTACTACCACACATGCCGAATCCGAGTTCGCGAAGTAGGTCATTTAGGAGCCATATTCAGCAGATTGAAGTTATCGCTGCTATTTGTTCATGGGGGGCAGCTCCACCGCCATTTGGTTTAGCATCCAACCTTGTCGCGAAGAATAATGTCGGTCGTAAGATTAGTGAGAGTTGAGGACAATAGGCGCATGTAAACATAACCTAGCAAGCAGCATGCTGATATATTCTTTGGGAAGGTGCAGAACTAGTCCTAAATGGGAAAGAGAGAAATACGAATACGACTTCATGACTAAGCTTGCTAAAACTGTAATGGCAAGCTGATGGGATCATTGGCGAAAAGATGATTGACGGTAGGTTATACTATAGAATGGACTGGAGACCAACTCTTGAGCCAGAGGAGAATTGTGTGAACATGAGGGAGTTGATTGAGGAGTAGAACAAGTTAAAGACACGTCGACGAAAAGGAGGCAAGACGATGGGGAGTCGGACCCCTCAGCTCGCACAGGAAGCTGGAGTTTCCAAAAAGGCTACAAATCGTCGTGGAGGAAAGAAGAACAATAGCAAGGACTCTACAAAACGTCCCCGTGGCCGCCCCAGAAAGGTGTAATGTCTTTGTTTCAACCAAATTGTCCAATTGGGAGACAGTACATGTTAAATCAACTTCTACTAGTTATATCTCTCCAATGCAGTGTGTTTGCAACTCTCAATGGTCACTTCCAAACAGGCAAGATGCGTCTGCTGCTCATCACATCACCAGTGAATCTCTCACAGGACCTTCCCTCTACGGCGGTCACCTTAGCAAGGTTGACAATGTATCATTGACTTTTCATTCTCTTCTACATTATCTCAGCACTCATTGGACAGAGTTGCTATGTCCCAATAATTTCATCCCATCGTACTATTCCAGTTCCACAATTATAATAAAGTTTCCCTCTTATTAGCAACTGGCTGCAAGCAGTTGCTATTATTTATTCCATGATGAGTTATTATATAACTCAATTATTCAATCATCGTGCTATAAGAGCTGACGACTTAGAACGTATTTATAGGAAAATAATATCGGAAATCAGGTCTTCTAAAGGGTAGCAGAGAGAAATATCTAATCCGTATCTATCGCTTCATTAATCTAGTAGATTCTATACAGAGCCTAGATATTCCAGATTCACGCTTTATCTGCCATCTATCACCCTCCTTAGGTTGATCGTTTTTGAGTGTCCGATTGCAAAGCTTGAGGCTTGCGTTAAGCTCGATACTGCCTTTAATTGTTACTGATTTCATGAGCACAAGTCGTAAAGTATACATTTCAAAAATGGTGTTTCTGAAGTCCTTAGGGAGATCTAGTAATGCAAAATCTGGATTATCGGCAAGGTCTTCTATGAATCTTACTGAGGTCGATACAACCAGAGACTGTAACTTTTGATCGACTTGCTCTTTTGTAGCAGCCTTGATAATGGCAGGAAGCTGTTCTACCTGCTTCAATACACTCAAGAAGTCTCTGAGATTATCTTTGGATAGCTTTAGGAGACCGTCGATTTGATAGTAATCGGCAGCTATGTTGATATCTATATGGAAAAGGGCCTGGCTAGTAGTGGAGTCCGAATAAGTATAAGTATCAGTATAGAGATACTCCAATATGGCTTTAATTACTGCAGGCTCATACTTATCCGTGTGAAGGTGTGTGTGTGAAGCTTCCTCTATTTCCTTATTAGTGGAGTGTTTCTTAAGAACTACCGTATTTCCAGAAAAGAGACCTACCTTGAAGTTACCAAAGAAAGCCGCCTCCATGACTGGGGACCGCGTATATATGATGCACTTGTGGACATCGTAAGTTTTCACTCCGCAGGAAATCGTACAGTCACTGAACTTGGACGACTTCCAAAGGTCTTTTGAAGACATGAGGCAGAACTTAATGATGCTTAGTGGTGATGGTAAGACGTAGAGCACGGAATTCTTCACAGCGGAGAATAGAATCAATTAATTACATTTAGTACTCATGTCTGAAGTATGAGATTAGTGTTAGTTAATTCAAGCTTTACATGTGACCGTGGAAAAGTTTAACAATCAGAGTGGAATGATTAGACGCATACGGCTTGTCTAGGTAAACTCGGCCATCATACTATTCCTGTCTAGGTAATGGACAGCAACTTGGCTTATTCGGTGGTAGAGGGACCCTAAGTTTCCAGTCAATTGATCATTGGCAGGAATACCGAGAGTAGGTCGTAGGCTATGAACTTGACTGCTTCTAACCCGTACGGCAAATAAAAGGCTGAGGAAATATATTTATAGGTACTTTAAGGGAAGGAGAAAGTATAGAGATCAGATTATATATTAATACTCTCTATAGTTAATAACCTAGTAAATCTTTACTCTAACTAAGGTAAGATATAAGAAGCTAAGGAAATACTTATAGGTATTTTAAGGGTATAAGAAGATATAGGGATCAGATTATATATTAATACTCTTTATAGTTAATAATCTAGATCTTCTTTATAGAGTTTAAGATAAGATATAAGAGGCTAAGGAAATAGCTTTATAGATACTATAAGGGTATAAGAAGATATAAGGACTAGATTATATATTAATACTTAATATAATTAATAATCTAGAGAACCTTTACTCTGATTAAGATAAGATATAAAAGGCTGAGGAAATATATTTATAGATACTTTAAGGGAAGAAGAAGGTATAAGGATTAGATTATATATTAATACTTAATATAATTAATAACCTAGGTCTTCTTTATACTAACTAAAGTAAGATATAAGAAGCTGAGAAAATAACCTTATAGGTACTTTAAGAGTATAAGAAGGTATAGGGACTAGATTATATATTAATACTTAATATAATTAATAACCTAGGTAACCTTTACTCTAACTAAGATAAGACAGAAGAGGTAGAGGAAATATACTTATAGGCGCTTTAAGGGTATAAGAAGGCTATAAAGCCCTAAGATATTATAAGATACTGACTAGTAATTAATATAATATATAGTTTAGGGGCCTTCCTATAGTATCAGGATAAGCCAGTTAAGACAGGGGAATATTATTACCAGGCTTATAGTAATCTTAAGATATTATTAGAACCCTAATATTATAATATTCAGATATTATATAATATCTTACTAGAACTAAATCAGAATATCCAGGGTAAGTTAATATTAAGAAGCTAGGGTATATTTTCTAATTAATAAGTATAGAAATAATAGTACTATAGTAAGTCTAAAGGAATAGATACTAAGATATCTTGAAAAGAGTTCTATATATAATATTACCTGTAAATAGATATTTAAAGAAATAGAAGATATAGATATAGATTATCTCTATCTATTATTATTATTAAGATTTACCCTATAGACTATAGGGTAGATCAGGTTACCCTATATCAGTTAATTAAATAATCTCAGATTAGTATAGGGTAAGGAGGAATAAAATAACTAACTTAGGGCTTTCTAAAGCTAGAAGTCCGCTGAAGCTACTAGCCTAACCTGCTATAGCTGCCTGTTAGAGTAATTATATTAGCAGTTATAACCGCTATAACAGCTGCTATAGTAATTATATTAGTAATCTTATATTATACTATAGCAGCTATATTAGTAGTTCTTATATCCGCTATAGCAGCTATATTAGCAGTCCTTATATCTACTATAGTACTTATATTAGCAGATCTTATATCTACTATATAAGAACCTTAGTACTTAATTAGTAAACCTTATAACTACTATAGTAGCTATATTAGTAAACTTTATATCTACTATAGTACTTATATTAGTAGTTCTTATATCTACTATATAAGAATCTTATAGTAGTTATAAGCCTATATTATAGAAGATAATATATTATCTTTAGAGCTCTTAGAGCTCTAAAATACTTATAAGTATAGAGCTTTCTTCTTACTAGATAGAGATTCTTTAAGCTACTAATTTACTCTTTTATCTACTCTACAGTCTATCTTCTTAGCTATCCTATAGCTAATAAAGCTTCTCTTTCTGTGACGGTTGGGTTGACTTACACTGGACGGAGTCTAGGGTAGGTCGGGGTTAAACCAATCAGAGTATTGTTCTGAGTGGCGCGATTAGGTTATCTTAGGCTGTATAATACGAGTTACTGTTAATATATGAGTATTATGGAGCTAGTAATAATAGATATATAGATAATATTATTAATAACTATCTGAGAGAGTATTCTATCTAATAAAGTGAATATATATATATACTAGGGGATTATTAAGGCTTAGTAATAATCTATTATTCTGGATTATTAGGATTATTATAAGATCCTGATAATCTACCAGTAATTAGTTGGAAAAAAGTGGGGTAGTTTATATAACTCTAATATGTAATAATATAATTTGTAATATAAGGTTCCCTCTCCGTTAGTTATATTCTTAAGACTATATTCCGCAGTCTGTTAGTAAGTCCTTTCTAATTTAATCCTGTATTCTCCTTATAGTCCGTGATAATATCTAACCGTATATAGAAAACTTCTTATAAGAAGACCCTTCAGTATAATACTCTTATTAATACTATCTTACTAAATCCTTTAGTAATGCGGTCGGAGTATAGCTATTGTGAATCCTATAGTTATAAATACTTCGGGTTAGAGGGTTCTTTGTCTTATTGTTTTTACTGTATTAAAAACAATTAGCTGCGTTATAACACCCAGGGCCTTATACCAGATCAGCTAAGGCATATTGCTGATCAGTATAGTAAACTGGAGTCCGAGCTGGAGGCTGTAGAGGAGGAGTATTATTATATAGATATAAAAATCTAATATCTTTATTAATAAAAGAAATTATAGTTAGACAAGATAATACGGGCGGTATCTCGTAGTATTAATAGTATAGAGGAACTAGAGTATATCGAGTAAAAGGAGGTAGAGGAGGTAGTCTAAAAACAGACTTTATCTCTGGTTATACCTTTATCCGAGCCTGTATTCTCAGAGATTAAGATTAATCCGGTATTTCTTCAGGAGGGTATAGAACTATCTCCTTCTTGGTTTATCGGGATAGGTATTTCTAGTCCTGGTAATATTACTGAATAAGCTTCTGATAATCCTTTAAATACTTGATAGGTTCCTAAGTATTATTATTATTAGTATATCCTTTCTATTTTACTAAGTAAAAGGTTTACCTATTCCTAACTTCCTTTTTTAGAATTTTTTCTAGTTCGAATTCTTTTTTATAGACTTTAATCGGATAATCTTAGTCTGGTATATCCTTTAATACTTTTTCAAGTAATAAGATATAAAAAGTTAGGTAGATATATATTATATCCGGTAATAAGAGTTTATAGTTAGTATCTAATTTTTTCTTAAGAACTTTAAATAGTCTAAGTTTTTTATAGTCTAATTTATTACTTAGTCTTATTATTATAATATTTTTACAGAGTAGATAGACCTTATCTCCCTCCTCTAAAATTAGTCCTTCTAATCTATTTTTATTATAGTATCTTTTTATTCTCTGTTAGATAAATTTAAGTTCTATTTTTATTTCTATATATAATAAGTATAATATTTCCTTCGTAAGTATAGTAGCTGGTATATCTGGTCTATTAAGTTCTAGTTGATTCTGGAATTACAGCTTGTAACTGTAATTCGTATATATAGGTATTAACTGGGTAGATTCTTATACTGAACTATTATAAGCGATCTATACTGTTAGTAGCAGTTATACCTAATTATCTTGCTCGTAGTTAATATATACTCGTAGGTATTATTCTAGAGTTTAATTTAATTATTCCGTTTAACTATTACTTTATAGGTAGTAAGCTATTAAGAGCTTATACTTGGTACTTATTTATACTATAAGTAATTACTAAAACTTAGAGGTAAATATCATTTCTCTATCCGATATGATTTTATCGGGTAATCTATAGTAACTAACTATATATTGTAAAAACTGGTATATAAGGTCTTCTGCAGAGCTTGCTTCCTTATATAGAATAAAATATCTGTATTTTATAAGTCTATTAATAACTACTAGAATACTATTATATTCTACCTTAGTTATAGGTTCTTTTGATAATAGTAGTTTAATAATATAATTAAAGAATACTGATTACCAGGGTTATTCTAGTACTGAGATTAGTTTAAGTTCCCTATAGGGTTTATATTATATAGACTTAATTCTTATATAAGTATTATATTCTGAAACTACAGTCTATATATCCTTTCGTAGACCCGGGTAGTTATAGTATTGCTTAATCCTTTCGAATGTTTTCTTAACTCCTTAGTACCCTGAGAGCAGGTACTTATAGATTTCTTTAATAAGTACTATCCTGGTATCTTACTATAGTTTCTCTAAGCTAGAGATAGTCTCTATTTAGACTTTAGTATATACTGTTTCCTTAAGCGTAGCTCTTAGGGTTTTCTATACTAAGTGTTCTTTATTATTAGTTAAGAACAGTTATCTATTTATTTTTAGAACTGCTTCCTTATACTCAGGTTTCCAGCTGAGAGTATTAGCTCTTCCGTTTTCTGATCCTTTTTAATATATAATTTTATAATCAAACTAAGATAGATATTCAGTATAGTATATTTACCTTCTATTCAGTTATTAAGTTATAGCGAAGTACTGAATATTCTTATAATCTGTATATACCTTAACCTTATATATCATTCCTAAGCAGTAGTATTTAAATTCTTTAAATATATATATAATAGCTATAAATTCTTTATTATAGATAGGGTAGTTAAGTTCTGTACTATATAGTTTCTTCGAGAAGAATGCTACAGGGTGTAATACTCTATTATTATCCCTTTAGCTGATTTATATACTAATTATAAAGTCTGAGGTATCCGTTTCAAGTTCTACTTCCCATATAGGGTCAAATATCTATAGTACAGGTTCTGAAAGTATTTGATTTTTTATTTCATTAAACGCTTACTACTGTTTATTAT